TTAAGAAATGTAAGTGATCTTTTGATTGCAAAACGTTTTTGTTTATATACTTTATAATGAATGCATCATCGTTTATAACTTTTGATAATAAGATATCAAGCGGATTCAGTGTATAAATTCAACTCGTTTTTACTAAAAGATTATTCTTTATAATTATTGTGCTTATCGTTATTCAAGGAATTATATTCAATGATGCCAGTTTTTTTTTTACACACGCACACTTTTGAATTAGATAATTTTTAAAAATTATATGTACGTAATTGGTAGATAAGATAACTAAGATGGAAAATAATGGAACTACGTACTGCATCTAATTCATAACAGTAACGGTAATACATGTATGAGTGTTTGATTTTCGCAGTACATGATGCGCAGAAATACACATGACATCTTGTTGCATGATACATGAATGAGAATTCGCGCAATTTTTATTTACGGAGTTACGGTAGATATGTTTTACAAATATAATTTATATAATGGCACTTGATCTTCACACTATTTTTATCAGCTGTAATTGTCTCTTTTTAGATAAATAATGGTTTGTGCAGCACCCCCAAACCAAGTTTTTATTGGTTTTTATCATTATTACTAAAATAAATCTCAATATGAAATTCTATCCAGTTTGCGGAGTTGTTTCTCATTCGAAATATAAACGTACACACACGAACGACAACTTTTCTACTCTTTTCTGCGTTTGAAATCAATTATTACTTTATAAATACTGGTTTATTATTAAAGTTAATTTGTATATTTGTTATTCTGCAAGTAGTCAAGAAAAACGAACGTCAATCAAATCGAAAAAATTACCTCCCCTTATTCAAACAAAATATTTATATTAGTATGATGAGGCGTTTATTGTATTCTTCCTTACCAACGACGGTCTCGCCTCATTGGATAAACGAAGATGTGGAAAGTCGATTGAAGTTCTGTGGGATTCGTTTACCAAGGTCAAAAGATATGGGAATATATATTTCTGGTGTTTTGGTGAGTGTTATCATGTTGGCTCTGTGTATGTTTGTGCGTGTAAGATAGCGGATTTTTCGTCGTATAAATTTTGATTTCTAACTCTCGATATTCATGATTTTATCTATTTCAAATAGTTTGCAACAGGATGGTGGGCTTTTATAGATGCTATGATATATTCTAAAGTCATAACAGGCAGTCAAATCCTAACGGTTAAAGATTGGATTAGCGGTGTTTTAAGTACACTAGGCATAGTTGTGTAAGTATACTTGTATGACACCATTTTTCGCTGCAAAATTCTTTTGTTATCAGGAGACTTAAATTCCTATTGAATGCATCTATTTAGTGTGAATTCAATCAATAAATCATGCCTAACCGAAATAGAATATTTACATTCAAATTCTTGTCTCTCACTCTGGCAAGCACGGCTAACACTGTTTCTAGGATTTGTATTTATGGCAAGCGGTGTATGTTGGTCAGCTGTAAGTATATCATATTCAACATGGAATCATATGCATTGAAATTATTTCTTCATTATCTATATAATAAAAACACAACTTTTTCAAATTTTTTAGACGAATTTCGTTATGAATTATATTTTACAGCAAGTTCCAATGCAAATATGGTACTTTGGGATGGCGATGTTGATGCAGAATATTTTAATAATGCTCAGGTAAATAAACATATCGATATTAATATCGATATAGAATCCTAATCGTTAATTAAGATTATCGACCTTAGATTGATTTGATATTTTCTCCTGTTTTTTAGCACTATAGTTCTTTGGTTGTCTCTCAATGATTACGGATCCTATCGTGGCAATTTTAGACTTTAATTAATATTTTATACTAGACTTATTTATCTTATTGGGGACTGAATGATACTCATAATTAACGAACATAAATAATCTGGACACGCTCAAGATATCGAAATTATAATAATAAAATTTTATTTTACGAGACTCTAGATCAAAGACTATTGACACAATAACTCACATTAATACGAGCCTTCCATATGATAATTTTTGGGCTTACTTGTATAGCGCGGCTACGATAATGATAAGACGATGAAATGTTGTTCGCTAGAAAATTATTTCGTCATTACGGCGGCGCATTTATGAAATGAATTTACATATTGATAATCAACTTCCAAATACGTACCTGTATTTAGAACGGGTTTTTCATTTTACGTATAACGATAGATACATGTAAATGTACAGCTATTTGTGTGTAAATCATTATGCATAAGAATGCTTTTTCATGATTTCTATTTGTGTGTGTATCGGTATTATCGTTACACTATCACTATCCTATGCCTAATTACGTCATGAAGCAAAGTGATAGGAAATTTGACCTCTATCTGTATACACTTTTTTGATGCGAATGGTATGAGTAAGATCATAGCGATAGCTATTTTTATCGTTATAACGCCATTAAAAATTACACACAGATATTTACTAATTTAAATAATATAAAAAAATGAAAGATGAAACGTAAAAACAATTCCTAAGATCTAAATTATCTGGATTACATGAAACAAAAATAAAATTTTACCTGGACTATTATTCTTTTTCGTTTTAACTTGACTGATAATGGATAAAATATTATTCCTTTTGTCTTATTCAATAATTTAATTCTTCCGAAAATCATGATACATGTACATCTAAAAAAGGTTGGTGTGAAAAATACATGTACATGGTGGTTCTGTGTAAGTTTTAAGGGTCGTAATACATATTTTGGTTTGCACAGAATTTTGGTAATTGTTGATTATAACGAGAAGCTCTATTACCGTTACTTTAAACCGGTGATTACGCCTTCATCCATTAAGAAAAAAGGCTCAGCTGAAACTATTGTATCTGATACTATAGATACAGATTAGAAAAAATAATAGGCATGAAATTAAATACGACAAAAGTTACTACTGTTTTTAGAATTTCTACCTGCAAGCATTTTTAATTATTTTTTCGTTAAATATAAATTTTAAAAATTAATGTGAATTGTTAATATGATTTATTTTTGAAATAGAAAGTGCCGCATCATTTGAAATTGAAATTAATTTTTCGAATGGTGTAAACTGCATTGTGTAGATTTTATGGGTTTTTTTCCTTTGCCATTTCTTCTGATCAAGCTCTTTCCAAGTTGAGTTTCCACGCCTCATCGATAAAGTAGAAATAGAGTTGGTGAAGTTCCTCTATCGCTGTTTTCTGGAATAGAGTTGCATCATCCGGGAACATCATTTGATAGCTCATGTTGTATTCCTTTATGTATGTCTAATATGAGATATATATCATGAAGAAATATTAAATAAATGATCTAGCTTTTCTTTCCAAGTCAATTTGTCATACTTTGGTTCTTCCATAATAAATTATTACACCATTTTACTCGCTGCACTTTAGAGCAGTCTCAATCTATTTTTGAAATTGTACTTTAGGACTTGTTCATTTTACCTCATTTATAAATTTAATGTAATTTTCTTTGAATTTGCGTTCTCCAGTTCATTTACATTTATTTTCTTCATGATCCTACTCGCCTTTTAATGGTCCGTCTAACCAAGCTGCTTTATAAATGCTCAAAAATCTCCTTCCGCAAGATATTCAACATTGGTAACTCTTTCAAAAGGAATCCATGCCATATTTTGTATTGATTTATTAGACAGTCGATATCTTTATTTTCGTTAGTTCCATTCAGCTTCATAAAATTAGGGATGATATTCATGGCACGGATAGCAGTACGTACGTACTTATTTTATTGACATCGAGTATTGTGAACTGACCACTTTCTGCAATAATCTCACTTTCGACAATCAGTACATGTACGTATATTGACAAAAATAGCATGTAAATTGTAATTATGTGAGAAATCAATCAATTTAAGAATTTAGAGATCAAGATAAATTTGTGAGAAGATAAATACTAGATTTTCATGTACTCGTTTTAATTTCGTTGATAATAAAAATTAAAACAAACGTAGGATTTATCTTTATCTCGAATAGTTTGATATATTGATTGATATCTACATGTATTTCACAAACTGCGATTCACCTTTTTGCAAACAGCGAAATGATGTGTTTACTCTTTTATGTAAATCGATTTACGAATGAAAAATGTCACAGGAATAAATTAAATGCATTAATGTTGACTTCTATTTTTGTGTTTGTGAGTTGTCACGTCTTTATATGGAATTGTTACCGTTACGTACGTTGTTTACCGTTACCGATTCTGGAATAATTTCTGAGTTGTACATGTATAGTTTTTTAAAATCTGCCTGAGAAATGTACAAACTGGTCTATAGTATATATACATGTCTATTATATTATCATATGGGCGTGTTTGGTTTTTTGATCTTTTTTACATAGTCACAGAAAATTAGTGTACCCTAGATCTCCTACGATTTATCAATGGTCACCAAAATAAAGCTTTTTGACTCTAAAACAAAAACAACTACATGTATTATGAAACCCCTGACCAACCCATCAATCTTTATTGTAAATTTTATTGATTTGAAACTTTTAATATTTTACTCTTACAAGCTACAAGTTAAAACTGCTCTTTTTAACCTTTATTTGAACTAATTTGTCTTTTTTAGTGTACTTGATGCCTACAGTTCGTGATCTCACTAGGTTCTATTGTACTATATGTACGCGATCTTCTGAAGGATTTAAGAGTCACACTGGCTTGCATCGGCATGAGACATATAAACACGCGACATACAACCTACAACCAAATCACATTCAACAAGTACCAGAGTCAGAGCTTCGTCATTTGAAAACATTATAGTCAAGGAATTATAAAAGAGACTCAAAAACAATTACTGTGGATCGGGAAGCAAGTGTTTCATTAAATTATAGCGAAGGCGCGTTCGTGTGTGTTTTTAGGGATTATATTACGCGTTATTCACCTTGTGATTCTTTTTATCTTGCAGTCTTAAGGGAGAAAATGCTATAGAAACAATTGGACTAATATTTGAAAATGTTTATTGGTGTGAACATGAACATGGAATGGTCAGCTGAGTTTTGTTCGGCTTTATATGCCAAAAGAACAAAAAAACGCGTCAGAAACAAATGATTTGCCACAATATAATGACGAAAATGGCAAACTGCCGAGAAGGAAACCCAGGCCAGGCCAAAGCTATCTTCAAATAGGGAAATGATTATAGAATGGAGGGTAACGGGATTCAAAGATAAGGCAAATCATAAATATAGGGCGGGAGTACTCCAAATTCGCTTTTTTTTTTTTTTAGATCAATGTCATTTTTAATATGTAAATAAATTCAAATAGACATTGTTCCTTCCGCTTTTTCTGGGATAAAGCTTTATCCAAAATAAAGTTGCTAGAGCGAGCGTATGATGCATAAAATCTAAACTCATCAAATGTTTGCATTTTATAAAATGGATAAACTTCTCTACTAAGAAGTAAATACAAATTTTAACCCGTCAATATGATAGAATAGGCCTTTTCTGAGCATATTCACGGATTAAATTATTTGTATTTACTTAATAAAGAAGTTTATACATTTTATAAAATACAAACGTTTGATGACTTTAGATTTTATGCACCATATAACGATAATAATCATTTTGCAAAGTTTGTAAAATATATTAAAGATATTTATTTAATATTAATAATTAGTTGATGTCTGGTTTCTTTATTAGAAAAAGAAAAAATATCTTTCCTATAAGAAATAAAACCACACAAAGTCAATATAAAACTTCACAAATGTTATTAGGATAAATGTACCAATATTTTTGTTCTTGTAGATAAAACAAAGATAATATCAAAACGTAAAACAGAACGACTCAGCGAAGTAAACGAAGTAAATGAAGTAACAAAGTAACGAAGTAAATGAAGTAACGAAGTAAATGAAGTAAATGAGGTAACGAAGTAAACGAAGTAATGAATTAAACGAAGTAAACGAAATAAAACGAAGTAGGTGAGTAACGAAGTAAATAAGGTTAATAACGAAGTAAATGAAGTAACGAAGTAGCGAAGTAGCAAAAGAATAAAAGAACAAAAGAAAGAACAAACGAGCTAGTGAACAGATCGCCTAATACGAGCATACAAAAAAGATTGTTTACGAGGGATTATTCTATATTATTTATTAATTATCTCTATATAACACTCTAAAAGAATTAAATAAAGAAATCATATGACAAATTCAAAAATGACATGAATCATATTTTGTCATAAATAGCTGCAGTGATTGTGATTGTGTTAAAGGTGAAGGTATTAGTGGCGTATTGATGATGAATGGCTCCAGCGTTGAAGAAGTATTAATTGAGCCGTTATTATCATTATTGGAATCAATTATGTAACTTTCACCATCTGTATTTTTATTATTATCATCGTTATTATTATTATTTTCAGCGAAGAAAAAATCTGTTTCAAATAAAATAGGAAGTTGATTATCGTTCTCGTTATTATTGGACACGTTGTCGATCGAATTTTGAGTTAAATAATTAGCGTAGTCTTGTTGATTATCGATTGCTGTCGTATAGTCTTGTTGATTGTAAATGACTGTTGTAAAGTCATTACTATAATATTGTTGATTATAGATATCTGTAAAGTTATTTGTATAGTCTTGATTATTATAAATGGCTGTCGAAATTGCTAATGTTAAAGATGGCGGTCCGTCGATTTGTATTGGTTTTTGGGGAGAATTGGAAGTCAAAGATGGCGGCTCGTTGATTTGCATTGCTTCTTGAGGAGAATTGAAAGTTAAAGATAGCGGTCCGTCATTCTGTAT